CGAGACTAATCTCAAACGGCCTAACTTGATATTTACTCTGTTCCACTTTGAGACACTGACTTTCTTTGTCTTGTGCCTGTCTCTTCCAGAGAATGGGCAACAGATGAAGGCAGTAGTTCAGTGGTTCATGCGTGTGTCTGAATTGCCTGTCAACAAACTGAAATTGCTTGGCAGAGATCCTCATCCACAGGAGATCTTCTACTATGAATATCGTAATTGTGATAATGAGGTCAACGTCGAGTCCATCCTCAGGCCTGTGAAGGTGAGCTTCATTTAAATCACAAATGCTTTAAACGTCAAATGCGAAAATGTTTAATTTCCTTCCTTTATCTCCAAGGTGAAGCACCTCGACAGCAATGACCCGTTCCCTGACTCCTCTGACAAAGATACCCTGTACGTGAAGTTGTCCTGGGACTCCAAGGTCTTCGGGGTGGTGAACTCGACCGTGATGGAGTCTCCCGCTGAGCCAGCACCTGCTTCTTCACCTCCTTCCTGTCTTAAACCCTCCCTCCCAATATCACCTTCTTGCTCCCAGTCTGCAGCCACCCCCAGAGGACCCTCTCGGCGTGTCCTACCCACACCGGACCACGCCATAATGCAGAAGGCGTCATTAGGGGAAGTTGGCTGCAGCAGTGTAGGTACACCTGCCAATGTCGAGGCTGAGTCACTTCACTCGGCCACTAAACTGTCGGCATCAAAATGCCTCAGTGCCAAGAGGAGGAATGCCACGGCCAGGACGCCTGGTGTCCGAAAGAGACTGGAGCTCAGCAGTGAGTGTTCACACAAGGATTTTAAAATGCAACCACTTTGTCGTATCAGAGAACAACAGGGCTTTTTATATATCTCTAATACCAAAAGTCGTGAAGTTTGATTAAAACCAGAATGCAAGAATTTGCAAGTCTGCGTAAATCCATTTGTTATTCACAATCGAGCATAGAAAACCTGAGAAAATGTACGATTTTAAGAACAAAAAAAGTCAAATTAAGAAGAAAAGGTTATTTATGGATGGCACCAGCACCTGGGCCATATTTGTCACTGTGTAGCATTACCACCTTCTTCTTCTTTTCTTTTTTTTCCAGAAAGGAATTTTCTCCCTTCTTATCTTATATAGGATTCTAGCTCCTCAACAGAACTGGATCATTGTCATATTTATAGTTTCATGATCCAGTAAATGTTTTCAGTTGGCCAATGGCCTGGACCAGGCCAGTTCAGCACCGGGACCCTTCTACAAAACCAATATGTGGTTTGACAGGAGCAAGTTTCTCTAAACCCCGTAGATGCCTTTCAGCATTTTCGGTGCCTTTCCAGGTGTGCTGAGTCCATAAATACTAATGTACCTCCATATTATCACAGATTTAGACTCACTGATGGCCCCTCTTCCTTTTTGTCCCGACGATGCAGCATTCTTGTCTCCCAAATTTCTAGTTTCAATTTATTTGACCAAGCAACAGTTTTCAACTTTGTCTCAGTCCATTTTAAATGACCTACGACCCAAAGAAGACGAAGTGTTTCTGGATCATGTTCATGAAGAAGCTTTCAGGGCGACTGTGGCTCAAGAGTTGGGAGTTCGCCTTGTAAT